ATTATTATTCCTGCATCAAACATTCAATTTTCCAACAAATTCTCCCTGAATGTCCATAATCTCTCAGACATTACTAGAGTTCTAGGATATACATCAATGAGCCAAAAAGACCAAGATTTTAGCCCTGGTGAGGCTTACAAAAAGAAGGACAATAAGTAATCATAGTAAGTAATCACATAATATGTTATACAACTTAAGACAAAAAAAAGTAACACAGAGAAAAAGAGGTCAAAATTGCTGGGTAACAGAAGGGAAATGATATAAAATTTAAAACATGTCTGGAAGGGTTAGGCCTCACTGAGTAGTTCTAAAATAGATGAGGGAGTCCACCAAGTTCAGATACTGGAGACATGTGTCCTTTACACAGGAGCAGCCATGCAGAAATACATTAGGGTAGAATGTACCCAGTACGGTAAAGAAAATGAAAAGACCAATGAGGACAGTGTGTGGTAACTTAGGAAAAAAGAAAAGATTCGTTATATGCAAGTATAACTGGAAAAAAAAATGTTCAGGGTCAATGCAAACATCTAAACAGAACTTGAGTTAGCAAGCCAATGTAAGTATAATTATCAGATTAATTCATAGGAAATGACATCATGTTTCATTATACTTGAACATTATTTTCTTTAATATGATCATTAAGGAGATTATTCATTGATTGGTACTACATCACACTCAGCAATACTTCCCTTATGACATGATGACACAGTTACACATAGTATTTATCAAAAAATGTGTCCTCCTCTTGCCCTTTAAGACTGAGTTTCAGGTAACATCATATCTTATTAATCTTTGTATCCTAAGTGTCAACTGAATGAGTTAATGACTAAGAGAAATGGATGGAATAAAGAAAACAAGGTAAAAAATTAGGGGGGAAAAAAAAGGTTTTTAAAAAAAAAAAAAAAAAAGGCCAAGAAAGTATATACAAAGTCAAACTTCAGGCATCTGCTCCAGTAAAAGAATAGAGAACTCAGGCTATTACTCATTTCCAAAGCAGAGCAAAAGTAAGAGTAAAATTTAGTAGAGAAAAATATAAAGGTGAGGGCTTGGATTGTGGCTCAGCGGTAGAGCACTCACCTAGCATGGGCGGGACCCGGGTTCGATTCTCAGCACCACATGAAAATAAAGGCATTGTATTGTGTCCATCTACAAAAAAGATTCATACTCATTCTCATATTCTCTCTCTCTTTCAAAAAAAAAATATATATATGAAGGTGATAGTAAAGGAATGGTTCTTAGGGCTTATGGTGGTTGTGCTCTGCACCAAACTATCCAGCTTCCTAAAGTAACTGGAGATTAAGCAGTTGGAATTTTATGGATTATGATGAAAAAGTGAGATCCTCCTAATTTGAGGAAATTGTAAATTTATTTTTTAATAAATTCATTGTAGTCCCATGAATTTGGAAAATGCACAGTCATGTAACTAAATCCATAAGATCCATAATGGTTCCACCATGCTGATGCTATGTAGTCAACCCCCCAACTTTTAACACCTAGTAATTTCTGCTCTATTCTCTGAAATTACAGTCTCGCCTTTCCAAGAATGCTATATAAATGGAATCATATAATATCTAACCTTTTAGAATTTTGCTTCTTTCTCTTGGAATAATGTATTTTACATTCATACATGTTATTGTGGGTAGAAATACTTTTTGCTATTTACTACTGAGATTTTCCTTTGTAAGAGTATACAACCAATTACCCTTTATCACTTGATGGATATTTGGGTTGTTTTTAATTTTGACTACTATGAATAAGACAGCTATAAAAATGTTCTGTAAACAAAAGTTTTCATTTCTCTAAAGTAAAAGAGTGGGTTCTGGGAAATAAGGGTATATTTAACTTTCTAAGAACTTCACAACCTTTCCTAAGTGGTTGTAGTATTTTGCACTTCCATCAGTCAGCAATGTATGAAGTTCTAATTTCTCCCAATTCCCCAGAACTTAATAAGTATGCAATGGTACCTTTCTGGGGTTTTAATTTGCATTTCCCAAATAACTGATGAAGTTGAGCATTTTCTCATTTTGACATACCATCTGTTTATCTTGTTGTTTTTTGTTTTGGCTTGTGCATGTGAAGTTAGCCCTCTACCAACTAAGCTATATCCCTAGGCCCTCATTTGTTTATCTTTTTTTGTTTTTAGAGAGAGAGAGAAGATGTGAAGTCAGCCCTCTACCAACTAAGCTATATCCTTAGGCCCCATTTGTTTATCTTTTTTTTTTAGAGAGAGAGAGAAGAGAGATTTTATTAATATTTATTTTTCAGTTTTCAGTGGACACAACATCTTTATTTTATTTTTATGTGGTGCTGAGGATAGAACCCAGCGCCCTGCGCATGCCAGGTGAGCGCGGTACTGCTTGAGCCACATCCTCAGCCCCTCTGTTTATCTTTTTTGGTGAAAGTGCCTTGAGATAAGACAGTTTGAGTCTCCAGCTTTGCTCCTCCTTTGCAAAATTATTTTGCCTATTTTAGTTACTTTGCCTAGGCATATAAGTTTCATAGTTATTTTGTCTACAAGAAGCCTTCTAAAACTTTTGAGATTGCATTGTGTCCACAGATCAGTATAGAAAGAACTGACATCTTCTCTCATATAAATATATATATTCATATAAATTTTAGAATCAGCTTATCTACAAAAAGCCTTCTAAAACTTCCAGATTGTATTGAGTCTAAAGATCATCATGGATAAGAATGAGTTTTCCAGTCCATAATGAAGAACTGTCTGTCCAAAATGTCAATATATCAATGTTGAGAAATCTTGTAAAGTTCTGTAGATGGCCTTTAAGAAAGTTCTATACTGATACCTACTTTGTGAAAAGTTTTTAACAGGAATAAGTGTTGAATTCTGTCAAATGCTTTTGTATGTATCTATGTATGTGGTTTTTATTTTTCAGCATCTGTTTTTAAAAATATTTTTTAGTTATAGATGAACACAATATCTTTATTTATTTTTATGTGGTGCTGAGGATCGAACCCAGTGGCTCATGTGTGCGAGGCAAACGCTTTACCACTGAGCCACAACTCCAGCCCTATTTTTCAGCATCTTAATAAAAGGAAATACATTAAGTGTTTTTCAAATATTAAAGTACATCACTGAATTCCAGAGTTTTATTTGTTAATATTTTCTGAGAATTCTAGTGTCTATGCCTATGAGTAGTATTGGCATACAGTTTTGTTTTAATATTTTGTCTAATTTTGTATCAAGCTAATTGGAGCCTCATAAAAAGAATTAAGAAATGTCCTCTTTTTTCCTATTTTCTAGAAGGATCTGAGTAGAATTGCCATTATTTCTTTTTTAGTAGTTTGTTGCAACCAAGAGTGAAAATACCCTAGCCTGAATCTTTCTTTATCGGAAAGTTTTAAAATACTAATTTAATCTCTTTAATAGGTATATTAAATATTTCTTAGTAAGTTTTGTAAAGATTTGCCCTTCCAGAAATTGGTCCAGTTCATCCATATTGTCAATTTTATGATTAGAATTATTTAAAGTATTCACATATTATGCTTTAAACGAAGGGCTTGTATTGATGTGCCTCATTCACTCTTGATGTTAGTCATTTGCATCCTTCATCTTTTTGTGAGCCATCTAGAATTTTACAAATTTCATTAATGTTTTCAAGATATTAAACTGATCATATTTATTGTTTTATTTCACTGGCTT